ATTTCAAGCTGACCTTTGTGAGATTGTGCGGTAATCGTTTTTATGGTGAACTACTGATATTGGATTTTGAGCTTCTGCATGTCGGCTGATAGGAAGCGCAGGTGCTGAGGTTCCCTTTAAAGTGGTCATTTGGAAAGTCCTTGTTTCTGAGGGAGGCGGTCGTGCATCTCAGCTTAACGACTCAAAAGAAAGGTTCGCTGCCGTAGTTGATAAGCCTCAGTGATTTCGGTCTGCTTGCATGGACTGGGGGTGTGAATTAAGACTCCTTTAACCGACATGCTCCGTGGGGAGCTTGTTACCACGTTTGCGATAATTCTCGAGTGGTATTTGTGCCATTCGTTTGCACTGAAGCACAACTTTAAACACTTCGGGGCTACGTGTGTCCAACGGCGACAGTCGGGTGAATGTATATCGGTCAATTTGGCTGCTCCAAGCTTCCCGCGCGTAGCGAAACTGGGATTTCACAAAAGTTGTAATACCTTGTGGGAAATGAAACGAGGTATTGAAGATGTGAAACATTCTTTGACATCATATTTGGTTATGGTTAGCCGTTTCTGGTCAGATTCACTGTCTGCTTCTGTGAGCACCCAAAAACACGCCCATATTGCGCGGAAAGGATAGTAGATCAACAGTACATCGTGGCATGGATACATGCGTAACTGTGGTTCACACCCTCACCAAGACCGGGACCGGTTAAGCACTAAGTTCTTTGCGCTGGGAACTCACTAGAGCTGTATGTTCAACTTTCATGGGTGTATGAAACGCATTCTCGATTTGACTTCACGCGCTTATTCTATGTAACTATCACCTTTGCTTGAAAAACAACCAGCACTTTCTGTGGAACAAGCACTAATACTGTCGCCTTAGTAACCGCATAAAAGCCTTAGTGCGCAGGTTGGTACATAACCAATCGCTATTTCTTAATGCCAGGAAGCTTCGTACGCTGCAATCGTCGCATCAGTGAGTTTGCCTAGGTGAACCGGTTTACATACGATTTAGCTATTTGGCCATACCAAATGGTGACGTACCGACGCATTGCGCCACTAGTTTTTCGCCTGTTTGTCCGCACGTGCAATGTGGCCCTCGCATGCAACTGGTTACTCGGACAACCATCCAGCGGAGTAGCATAGGGGGCGGAGGGGGGCGCAGTCCGCCTCGGGCGGCGTGTGACAGGGAGCGGCACTTTTAGTACGGATGGTTGTTTAATACCAAGGGTAAATACATCAAGATGACCGAAGAAGAAATTGGTACTTCATACGTTGATATCCGGACAACAGAAAACGATATTGACAACAGGGACGTAGCGGGAAATTTTTGTAATGTTGATGCAGAAGAGGCGCGCTAAAGTGGAAGAATTGGAAATGCAACCACATTTTTGTACGATAACAATCGCATCAATCGATTACATGGATGTCCGCCAGTGAGCTGTTAAGATTGTTCATGAAATTTGTACTATGCTTCTCCGTCACGGATCTAAAGTCCTCCAGCAAATCCATCAGGAATTCACTATTTGGTGCTAGCTGGAACGAACGCAAATCTGAGGCTAAGGATCTAACGACTAATTGGTGATGCTCGGTATTTCTGAAACGGTGAGCAAAGATTGCAATACCCATGGTGCATTCTCCTTCCAAAGTGGCCCTGTGTGATTTCCGCTGCAGGATGTCTTCAACGGGATAGTCAAGTTTTCCGACTGGTGGACGCTAAATCCAAAAGCATGTGAACACGAATCTAGCGAATCGCGTGCTCATTCAATCCACAACCGCAAAGACGTAGCGATCTGGAAGGGAATTTGACCAAATGGCGCAAGTAGTTGTATAAAATCAGTGGCGTGAAACTTCGCTGGAATACTTGATATCGTCAGGGTTCTCATCAAGCAGAGCATGACACTGTGGATTCAAAGGGAAGACATCCAAGATGACAAATGGGGTCAAAAACTGAATTTTCAAGCATTGATACATTTCTCGACCAAATGTGGGCCGGTTTTTCGCGAACATTTGGTGACAGTTCAGCTGGGAAGGAAAATCAGCACCTTTTTTGTCGCACCACGTTCAAAATGAATTGGTGAGCAATTCGGTACAATCAGGTGAGAAAGCAAATCTTAGCTCAGGTCAATGAAAACAATTATGTTTCCCAGATTTTCGATAGCACGCCCGATGTATCTCACACATGAGTGAAATGAAGTGAGGGGAGAGGAGTGATTTATCAGCTTCGTTGAGACCAACAGCAAAATGTCAGGGGGAATTTCTGCACTGGTTCTGCGAGAACCGGATAAGAATGGAATTCACATTGACGACTGTCGTACCCAAGCATTTGCCAACGGTACTAGTATGGCGCGCTAACGAATGGGTGTCCAGAGACGTATCTGTGAAATCAGCTCAAAGTCTACATCTGTGTCATGCACAAACCATTCTGTGTGTTTATGTAGCTTCCGCGGCGGTTTCTTCTGTTACATTGTTTGTACGATGGACCGGCTATTATTATTCTTTGTTCACCTGAATGTTACTTGAATGCCTTGGTTCACCGGTGTAAGTAGCAGATGACTGTAAAATATAGATGGAGTAGTCGAGCAGGTGCTGTAAATACTGTAGTTAAGAAATACTCAGAACTCGTCAAGTCACGGACACATTTCACAGAATAAGGAGGAAATGCAACCACAAGATCCGCTACATCTTTAATTCTCATCTCGGTACAGTCGTTTTCCGTTATTTTGTATCTTAGCATGCAGGGAACTGCCCACAGGATTCAAAGATACGCAGGTATGTCCAAAGAAATAAGCTGGATGTGCAAAGATGTGGAAATTTTACAGCGTTAAGAGTTGCCTTCTTCAGAATAGATGGCACATGGTACACATTGCAACGGATGAATAAAAAAACTATGCTAATTTGGGTGTAAGCATGAAGCGTCGAATCGGCCAAAAGAAACGTATGGACGGTGAATACCTGTTGCATATATTGGTGGGATTGGATGCAGATTTGAAAAGGAAAATACTATCTCTCATAGACATTTTAATTAATGAAATGCCACAGAATTCAGAAAATTCATGACTTTGCGAACAGATATGCTTCTCTTACACCGTTACATCTGCTTGATAATAATTATGGTTGTCCGCTTAGTAAATGCAACGATGATATAGAAAAACGGAATTCTTGCCGGAAGAAGAAGATGGCGGTATTTTGTGAAGGCTTCATTAAAAGACAAAATTAATGTGCTCTCTGAGCTTTTAAGTCTCATACCGGAATATCACATGGAGAAGCTGCTGCGCATAGTTCTTACCGGAACTATTAGTATAGCCAGCTATGAGAGTGCATTCTGTAAACGTAAGCTCATAACGAACTACCTTCAATCGTCATTGCAGTAGACAATGCTCACGGAGTCGCAATTCACAACATAGAGAGCGAAGTTGACGATGGAGAGTGTTACAATACTACTGCCTCAAGTAATGCGCACAAACTGTATCTGTAAATCTTGTTCACTAGTACTCTAACAACAAAGATTCCTGAATTTACGGTGGCACTGTACAAGTGGATGTTTGCTTGTTGTCAGGTGAAACAAAGTATTCAAGTGCTGTCCGAATTTGTGAGGGTTTACGGATTTAAAACTGTTAGGGAGCTGGCTGCTTAACCCTCAGTTTCATGAATTATTTTAGTTGCCTATTTTTTTGCGCAGTTACCTGCTTCTCTGCTACATTTTGGACACGCCGCATTCCTTAGCCTCATTTGCAATCGCTCACAGCTCATTTCAGCCGTCTCATTCTGTGGACATTCTGATTGGTTTCTTTTGCTCAGCGTTCCTTAGCTTTTTCACGTGGATGTATTATTTAGCCGACACATATTTATTATACCTGTTTTTATTTTCCTGGTGTGTATCATTCTCACTATCAATTGTTCTGGCATTTGTTTAAACGCATCACTTCTCCACACTGATTGGACGCCACTCGTCGTTTTTAATGGTCGCTCACCAGAAGGTTACCCCCAGGGACTAACTCCGCAGACACTATTTTCCTTGCCGCACTTCATTGGCTCGTAATTTTCGCGATTCTCATTTGCTTGTTCCATTTTGTGTTTTCTCCATGCCTGTTGGTTCTCATGCATTTAATAGCTTGGCTTCGCTCTTGTTGTAAAGCTATATAACTGGTGCCATGCTGTAATAGAAAATCTGTTCATCCCGGCTCATCTTGGACTTCTTCTTGCGGTCGTGGGGTGAAGGCGTACTGGGCGTCACAACAAAAACCGCCAGAGGTGGCGGAAAATTTACGTCCGCCCCTGGTGGAACAGTAGTCGCTACGCCAATGCAAGCACCTGGTAACTTTAGTTACAATGATACTGGCTGGAATGTGAATTAAAAATCAGCTCTTTTCGCCAAGAAAATTTGTTAAATGTATAACGTGGGTCAGGCTCCAACCCCTTGTCCTACACTGTCCTCAAGTTCATCCTACTACGCATCTGCTGACCCAACATCTCACTAGTCTCACCCGCGTGCTGCCATCCGTCATCGCCCTGGGGATGTATTGCTCTCGAGCATATGTGGTCGGCACCCCTTCACCCCCTCCGTGAATAGATTTCTCTCTGTACCTAAATCCGACCTCTTATTGGCTGACGGTGCATAACCAATGAGACAGCTACGCGACGGCAAGCGCAAAAGCAACCATTGAGGTATGGGCGGGAGAACTTGCAAGGTTATTAGATGACGTCGAAGTCCTTACGGCTGAAGTTGAATGCCCTATGGCTTAACGCATCTGGACAATGTTATAGATCATCAAGACGAACAGACACCATCTGCCCTTTACCCCAAGGCTATAGCGAAATATACTTTTTCGCACTGAAGTAAGTCGTCAATAAGACAAGAAGCGGTGGGTGAAACAATGTGATCAACTACACGGGCTTTGCGGATTTTAATCGACTTCCATCATTGGAACACCGTACCAGTCGTTAAGAATACTTTATAAGGTTAAACTGAATAAAAGTATACGAATCATCATCTGGTCCAGGAAGGTGACCTACTTGCCGGTGTTTGATCGATGCTTCTTTACTAGTGCACGTCAACCGGTGATTGTGTGATGGAATTACATTTTTTCCACCGGTAGCACGCAAAGATTCAGTGGTCTCAGACCATCCAATGGGAGCTTGTTTCGCTTCTCGGTTGCCTCGTCCAGTGTGTGTTTGGTTCACGGAAACTGATGGAAGTGTAGATTCGGAGCTGGCGAGTTTAGTTGGCATTTGGCGATCGCATGGGACATGGGCTCGCGAACGGCCCAGAAGTGATGCGCAAGCAGGGTGATGGTGTGTGCTTAAATGGATTTTCGCTGCAGAAATAAAGGCAAAACGCAATCCGTCCGAAGTAGACCCAAGTGAATACCATTCTTTTAGTGTCACAAGAAGGTAAGGGAAATGTGTTAGGTGCAAACGTGTGTATTTAGTGGCATCTATTTAAATAAGTGCAAATGCCAAGTACCGCCAGACAGTTTATTACTACAAGGTGCCTATATCTCGCAATGCAGGACGATTCGCGACTTGGGCGTGCGATATTCAGTTACGTTTAACTTTTCTGAACACTGTGACTTCCAAGTTTCGAAAGCCATGGAGACCATTGGTTATATCTGCCATCATTTTTACCTCACGGAATCTCGCATATCCCTTTACAAAACATATGTATTGCCGTGTATGGAATACTGTTCAATGATACAGTCTAATCTACGGAAGTCTGACCAGCACGCTTTTGAGAGGGTTCAGAGACGCTTCACGAAAAAGCTATGTGGATATTCCTCAAAGTTGACATACAAGGAGCGATGCGATACACTTGGATTTGACCCAGTTTGGCTTCGGGTAATGAAGCTGAACCTATGTTTTCTGTACAGAATCATAAATTGTCAAATTCGCAGTCCTGAAAGCGGTGTTCACATATCTGTAAACATCAGATACCCAATACGTAACAAAGAGGTAAAGGTCATGATTCCAAAATTTTCTACGAGAATCAGAGAACGTTTCTTTCTAACCCAATACTCAAAGATTTGGAACAAACTTCCAAGTGATATCAGAACATGCTATACTCTTTGCAATTTTAAGCTGCTATTAGTAAGCATTTAACCGTCCAAAACGTGAGTAAGATGTTCGGGACATCACAGTCCCTAGATAACGCATTCGAAAACGGTATCCATGGTGTCTGAATAAATTTCTGAAACATATACACATAACATTTCGGACAACAGCCCCTTTCATTACATTTTTTTCTCTCGGCCCAAATATCTATCATGTGATTGTGAAGAATCCTGATTCTATGGCAGGTAAAATAGCAGAACGATTCTGATTACTCTGTGTAACTAATTTGCAATTGCATCCATGTTTATCTCTGAAAATGTATTGATGAAATGTCATGGAAAAGTTGTACCATTATTTGATCTGTTCCTTATAGAGAACAGCCTCTCGCATAGTCGAGGAATATACAATTTATTTATTTATTTATTTATTTAAATGATCATGTCACAGTCAATCTCAATGAGACTTTATAATTCCTTGTACCTAAGGTAGTAGGTAAACCAACAGCAGTACTGGCATGTTTTGCTGAACAGGAAACAAAGATTTATAGCCAAATTTGTTAATAAGTTGATTGCATGTCTGACGGGTGCGAGTTCTCATAAAGGCACTAAAAGTGTTGGGTGAAACGGATCTCAGTCATCGCATCACCAAGCCGGGTGTCAAGCATTTGTTGAGGTTACTAAACGCTTTGGCTTGCTTGCACTTTTTCAGTTCATAAATTATCCCCGTTTGCGTCAGAAGTAAGCAAATGCGCGAGGAATCTGCTTTTCTATAATTCTCATCGGGCGTACACAATTATGAATTAAAATATTGGAGAGAATAAAGCTCGTATAGGCTTGTACAGAAAGCGACCAACTGATTAACCAGGCGGCATGAAAACTAAATCAATGGTTTAAGCAATCAGACTGTCGCATTAGGAATCACGTGAGCAAGGCAGGCCATATGTCAAGTTCAAGGCCAAGGCAATTTTAGAGCCTGTAGCAATGTGCGCTGTTTGCACAGCTCTGGTTTCAAAACCTAGATTGCAATGACATCAGAAATGGTCAGCAGATGTTTCTTAAGCTGTTTTGGGTAGTATTTAGGGATGGTATAAACGACGTTAAACGACTGGTTCATCTGGGCTTGATGTCCAATGTCAACCAAGTGTCGTAAAACGGAACTGTTGATGGATTTTACGGTGACTTTTCGTAGTGACCCTGGGCAATGTTTAGAGATATTTTTTGACAAACACCTGGTCGTATGTCCAAAATACCTAGCACCACAGGTGCAGGTGAACTGGCATAAGACAGATGATTCGGACCGAACCGGGAGTTTATCTTTTAAGTGCTGAAGAATCAGTGGTCTTGTTTCGACAAGTAGTTTTAGATTGGCGGCTGGAAATGTCTTGGCCAATGCGGTCGAGATTTTTCTACTCAACAGTTCGAACGCGACGTCACCTTTAAAGGGTGCTGTAAGGAATACATCCTTTTTAGGTACTGCAGTGACACTTGACAGCATCAGGCTGTTTGGAGTGATTTTTGATGAAAGGCAGAAGTTACCCATTTTCTTGCAGAGTGTTAAAGATGAGCTTGGTTTCACTTTCCAGTGTCTCTGGGCTGCAGATTGCTCTGGCACGAACCAAATTCATCTTGTATCTCAGCAGTATAAAGCTAAGAAAATGGGTGTATTGACCTACCCACGTCGCTTTGCGGAAAACACTCCTTTTGACCGTCCCGTTTTCACGCTGATGCAATAGAACGTGTAGGAACACCAAGCAGCCATCTTGCTCAACTTCACTGGCGAATTTTAATGATGGATGCACTCTGTTAGGCTGATGTAATTGGGTTACATAATCAATTGAAGAATCAGAGACAATGAAAGTGTTGTCCATGTAACGGTAGTATAAATCAGGCGAAGAAATAAGGGTAGTCAGATGTCCACCTTCGAGCTTTGAAGGAAAGATGTCGGTAAAAGAGGGCCTAGAGGAGAACCCATTGCGACTCCATCTAGCTGTCTATAATAGATTCCATTAAACAGAAATTGTACGTTGAAGGTGTAACGCAGAATCAATTCTTTCAGTTTGTGCACTGCAATTCCAACGTCAATGTTTCTCTCATTCATGAAATCACAAATGAAGGTCACAGTCTCTATCAACGGCAAGTTCGTAGTAAGTGATTCCACCTCAAACGACAGCATTAATTTATCCTTCACGTTTAGGTCTTCTATTCGGTTGACAAAATCAAAGGTGCCTTTGCTCGCAGGTTGTCAGTTAGGCCAATGATAGTATTCTCTATCTGACCCAACACGCACTTGTTTTCATTTGTGACACTGTCGGACACGTTGAACAAACCAACTAAAGTTGGGAACTCATAAGAGCATCTGGTTGGGACCGGTCAGCATAGTGATGTCCAAACTTCAGCAGATATGTGACACTTTCATGGAGGCAGCCACCACTCAGGATGAAAACGGTCGATAGTTGCTTTATTTAAACGGTACCACAACAGAAAATGGTAAGAGTATTAATTTCATGTCAGTATTTTAGAATGACGCAGTTACACCACTGAAGCGACAGGGGCTCACTTACACTACGGAAGACCATGACGAAACAGGATTACAAGAGATAGTAAACTACTTTTATAATTCTGCAAACGCATTGTAAATTATTAACTGAAAGATATTATTTTAGCATACACCGCGAAAATCAGGTTTCTTCGCTGGAACCCTCAGAGTCCTCGGACTAAGGCAGTAGTAATGGGCAGTAAGATGGATCTAGTGCCATCGACTTCGTCCATGTTGAAGGCGGTAAAACAGAAATGTCCCACCCCATAAAGCAAACAGGCCATGCTGTTTACCGCTAGCGAATCGTACGCTTAGTCCATAGCAAGATCTGTGCACGTGACGAAGCAAACGTAATTTTCCAACTGCTGAATACACTTCAGTCTAGCGGAAGGGCAAAATAAAATTTGCCTTGGCAATGCCAGGGTTGCATCGCTTCCTATTAGTAGCGTTACAAGACCATTTGGTTAGGCGTAGTCTGAAGGGACCAGTACACGTGCAAAAGCGGAATCCCCCTAGCAACTATCCTCGCTTCTGCGCAAAGAATCGCAATTCGGTTATAGCCCGCCCCGTTTAGTAACACATCCTTCCTGTCATGCATTCTGGAATGACAGGTGCTTCCTACAATGCACAAAAATAACGCTTCTATTCTATTCCAATGAAATACAAAGTAATAATGTAGGGGCAAGCACGTGACCCTATTTGGCCAGATTAGAAAAAGAAGCACAAATAACCACATGATCCGAGATTTAGCTTATTTGCTCTTTAAAAACAGCACTCGAATATTAGTCACCTAACGCTGCTAGGCGAGGGTGGAGTGTAGAGTGCTTGAGAAAGAAAAGGCGTATAGCAAATTTGCTTTTCGAAGTTGACAAAGCACATCAGTGTCATGCACTGAAGTTGTAACCACTATCCAGACATTGAGATCGCCTGCATCCCGGTATAACAACGGGTAACGCATCGCCCTGTGTTCATCACGATGTGTGGAACCACGATGCTGGAGTCCTGTTGTGCGTCCGCCCTTTAACTTGGCTCTCGCCTTGCCCACTGGGGCCACTTTAATTCTCCCCACACAATATTGTGTGTGCGCTCGTTCGAACCAGTTCGACGAGCTCTACTCAGTGCTTCCAAACTCTTGGACCTAACTTGTGTGGATTATACTCTTGCTTCAGTACCCAGTTTTCGGCATATCCTTTGTTGAGCTCTACGTGTGGAACTACGTCAAACCGAAATTCTTCTGGAAAGATTCTGGTCTCATTCCGAAGAAGAAGCTGAGGATTCCCAAACTACGCGGCAATCATCCCTGTACGTTGCAGCAAAACAAAGTTACCGACATTTCGCTCCGCTCATCAACTGAACAGCTCTAGGGACGCTTATCAGCGCTCCACCTGCATCGTCGCTTAAGGCAGGTCCATCGACACACGCTGCCGCTTTGTGTGGGCATGTGTGTTCAAGCGCGAGTCTGTTGATCGCTGAACCCAACAGCCTGCGCGTTACAACCTCCATCTGTCTCAACCGCCTGACCTTGGTGCGATTGAACAACTCTCAATTCGTGTGCGTGTTTTGCCACGTTTGTGCGTCACGCATGGTGCAATGTACACTCATCAAGCTGAGCGCTCAGATAGGCCTTGCTGCAAATGATAAGAGGACGACTAGCATTCCAATGGTTCAACGTCGCATATGTTGCGCAGCCAATTGCAGTAAAGTCCTTAAGACCAGTGTAACCTGTTCTAGC